TTGTAACTGGGGGGGGTCAGGTTTATGAGGGCGCTTTCTTTGGATTGGAGCTTAGAGGGTCCGGTTTATCCAGGCGCCCCGCCGAAGAGGAGGTCGCATTTGGAGGGGGGTCTGGTTTTGTAGGGGGGGGTCGATTGAGAAGGGATTTGGATTGCTGAACTTTTCAAGAAGTTGGATCTCTGGGGAGGGCCCCGCGGCCCGTAACTTTGGACGCCCGACGCGGGTACCGAAAACATGGGCACGATGCCCAGCAACAAATGTTGTCCCAAACCAACAGCGGCCGCTGTTGGGCAGGCGGCCTTCTGTCTCAAATGTACACAGGCCGCGGCGACACCGACAGCGAGTCCTGTCCAAAATGAACAGGAGTCGCTGTTGGGCACTGTACCCATTCTTTCCGTAGCCATCTCGTCCGTGCAGAGCAACAGCGTGACGGCGTGCCATCGCCGGAGAGCTGCGGCGCCAGCATGGGCCCAGCTCCTGCCCGGCTTCCAGGCCAGAAATCCTCGGCTTCTGTGGCTCCCCCGCGGCCGCGCTCGGACCGGTCCGGGGCAACCGAGCCCTGGAACGCCCCCGCGGCGAGGCGCGGCCGCTGGTGTGCACCACCGCGGAGACGGGGGGCCGCCGAGAGAAACACGGAACCGTGTGAAAAACCTGCTCGGCGACCTCGGACTCTGCGTCGTCGTCGGGGTCGTGGTCGTTGTCGTGGTTGCGGACGTGGGTGGCGGTGGTAGTCGTCGTCGTCGTCGTCGTGGTCGTCGTCGTGGTCGTCGTCGTCGTCGTCGTCGTCGTTGTTTTCGTCGTCGTCCTCGTCGTTGTCATGGTCGTGGTCGCGGTCGTGGTCGTGGTCGTGGTCGTGGTCGTGGTCGTCGTCGTCGTCGTCTTCGTCGTCGTCGTCGTCTCATCCCTGGGCCCAGAGCCGAAGGCACCGGCGGAGCCCAAGGATTCCGTTCCTTCCCGCCTACCACCGCATCTGCGTACCAGTCGTCCTCTTTCTCCTCGTTGCTCTTCGTTCCTCCTCCTCTTCCTCCTCCTCCTCCTCCTCCACTTCCTCCTCGTCCTCCTCGTCGTCGTCGTCGTCCTTTTCCTCCTCCTCCTTACTCATATTCCTCTCCCTCACTCCTCTCCTCCTCCTCCTCCTCCTCCTCCTCCTCCTCCTCCTCGTCCTCCTCGTCCTGCCCCTCCTCCCCGCACGTAGCCTCGGCCGCGAGCCTTTCTATCGACGCCGCCCGTCGCGACTCCTGCGGAACGAAAAAAGCGCGCCTGAGGCACAAGCTGCAGCAACCGAACTTCGTTCAGCGGGCCCCGTGCCGAGAATACAAGACGAGCGGGAGGAGGAATCAAGAAAACGGCGGCAAGGATGCCGAGAACGATGAGGCACGGAGGGTCGGCAAAGAAACCATAGCAAACACTTGGACACGACGGGGGGCCGTAGCCGACACCACGGGCCACGGGGGACGAACGCGAGAGCATTCAGAGATACTGCTTGGAATAGTCAGGCCCGCCACAACTGAAGATACATCGGCGTCAGGGCCCATGAGCATCATGCATACGCGTGCCCGTGGTCCCACGTACGCACATGTGCATACGCTCGCCCATGAACATTCTGCATAAGGACCAGAATCGAGGCCCCGATCGAAAACTATGTATCCAGGACCGCCTACCAGTCTCAGCAAGGGAGAGATGGACTCGAGAATCGTCGAGTCTCCTGATTAGAAACAGCCATTCTTGAAAAGTGAAATGACCGCCCGCATGAGGGATGCAATGCGCGCTGCCGGCGCCGGTCCGAGGTTGGGGCCACCAGCGCCTCCAGCCAGTGCGGGAGGTGAAACAACACGGGACATCATAGAGCGACGAGGGCATGGCTTGCTCACACCGCAAACTTGGGGGGCACAGGCTCCCATGCTGCAACGGGCGAAACATGAATCCGGCAACGCACGGGGGAACCAAGCGGCTGCGCTCATTGCACGTGTATGTAGCAACAGCGGCGGGGCACTTGGCGGCACTAGTCATCGCTGCGCGCCGGGTCCACTCCAGAAGAGGGGCGCGCCAGCTGCGTCACCCACTGCAGGTCCGAGAACCATGCCAAGGTGGGTGGCCATCGACTCGATGCGGAAGTCTTTCCTCTCGCCCGAATTCGGAATCGGCCAATCACACTACAACTGTTAAATCTCAGGAGCGAGCTCACTGAGAAAAGAAACGTGCGCGCACGTGTCGAGCATAAGGATGCACGCAATCATGTCGCAGACGGTCTTGACATCGCAAAGCGCGGCCAGCACGCGGAATGTTCCGTCCGCGTTGTCAGCGCAGGCCCTCGCAGTGCTCGAAGGGCCACTCCTGGCGCCAACCCGCTCGCGCAAGTGAGCCAGGCGATGGTCCGAGGCCCTGGCGCGCAAGATCCACTTTCAATCGTGCACGCGAGCAGCCTGAGAGGCCCTGCAACTCCGAAGCAGGAGGTGCGCGGTATACTCGCAAGGCATGCGCAGGAGGCTTCCGGGCGCGCCACTTCGAACGGCCATTCGCGCGAGATCGACGGACAGGCCCGACTGCGATCATATCCCCACGGAGCGGGCGACCTCCGAGCGCAAGATGGCCGCGACGGGCGAATCCGAACCCGGATATCTAACTGCAGAGAGGTGGCCCCAAAATTGCGCGCGGGGGCGAATTCCCGTTGGACGGGATAAAGAAACTGGCGAAACAAAAACTGCCCGGCCCCTCTGCGCGCCAAAGCCGCGCGCATTGCGTTGGGCGCACTTTCGGGGCACGTCGCGCGAGTGCGTGACGCTTCCCCCCGGGGGGCGATCTCCAGCGCGCGCCCGCCTAGGGGCCAGTCATGGGCCCCCCCGCCCCCCAGTTGGCATTATCAGCGAATGGAAGGGAGAAGGTAGGAGGGTAGCAAGCTCACCGTGGGAACGAGCGCAACGATCTAGATTTGCAGCACCCGAACCAAAGAGCTCCATAGTAAAGACCTCTCCCCAGCACCGAGACAGAAGATCGAGCGCGCCCCGCGGCGTCGCGCTGCCCCCGCCCAGTTCGCCGAACAGCAGTGAGCCCCGCCTCGCCTTTGAGCCGCCTTCGGAGCTTCGCCTCCTGACTTCTTCTTCTTCTTCTTGTTTATCATTTTTTGTTGCGACCCCCGAGGCCCTGCCGACGCCCGCCTCGCCCTTCCCCCTAACTTTCTGGCGAGCCCGGCGCGTTTCCAAAACACGTTCGTCAAAACGTCATCCTCGAGAGGGTGCAGCTCCAAATGGCGTCTCCCAGCGGGGTGGGCAGCGAGGGCCCGGCGTGCCGCGGGGCAGTCTTGACGCTTGACTGGCCCAGCGATGCTGCTGAGCACCGCAGACCAATCAAACACATCGCCAGGATGCTTCTTGATGAGCAGATTGCGGACGTGCCCAGCAGCCTCCGCAATCATGAACGTCTGAAATTCTGGGGCGCAAGCTGGGGGCATGGGCTCGTCTTGCGAGATGTCCCAACAAACCTTCTAGGAAGGGCGCATTGTACTCAGGATGCTCACGCGTCGTTCCAGAGATAGAGCGATTGCCCGCTGAGAGAACGCCAGAGCGCGACCTGGCCGCCGCGACCTCCGCCATCTCAAGACACTGCCTGGAGATATCTACCTGATTCATCACCCGCCCAATCCTGGAGATCAAGCGCCGATCTGTAAATGTGGGGATCTGCTGGGAGACGTGGAAACAAAGTTGACCAGGAAGTTGAAGGTCTAGGAGTTTTCTCTGGATGTGTTAGCCCACTGCCCACTGCCCCTCCCTTTGGTCTGCCCAGTCTGAGTGGGCCGCGTCGGTCAAGCACGGGCGGTCATTCGCGCGCCTGGGGGGCGCAGCCCCGGTTGTTGTCACTGATGAGGACCGCCAAGCATTCGGCGCTTGACGCACGTGCAGCCTGGAGCATGCTCGCGAGCAATCGAGAGACGGCCGCCCACCCCTTTCCCGCGTCATATTGTGCTGCTGTGTTTTGATGTGCGCATGGCCCTCCCCCTGATGCAGTGACAGGGAATGTAATGGTAGTTCGGAGGGCCCTCCACTTGACCCCCTCCTTTTCGCGGCGCGCGGTGTTCTGGCACCGAGGTGGCGAATGAGGAGGGGCGAGGGTGGCGGCGCCTCCAACGCGAGAGCCTTCCCGGAAGAAGCGGTGAACAGACACTTCCACGTGCGATGGCGCGGGACAACTTGAAGCTCAGCCAGGCGGCCGCGCGTCCATTGAAGGGCTGCGATGCACCCTTCCTTCGCAAACTTGGACGGGTAGCGTACTAGTTTCGACCAGATATGCGATCGATGGTGAAAGAGTGTCCGTCGATTCCAAAAGAGAAGCTGAAGCGGCATAGCTCTGCTTACTGGGCCTCTCCGAGCCCCGAGGTTCGTGTCAGAGACTCCGCGTGGCCTCCGTCGGGGCCCTAAAGTCGCGCATGGTGGCCTTCTTCCAGCTCGTTCTTATAAGCGCCATCTCCACGATATTCTCGACGCAATAGCGAATCTTCGGGGGGGGATCGCCAAGAAATGGGGCCAACGACGCCAGGAGCTTCCAGGACTAGCTGAATCCCGCCTTTGTCTGTATCCGCGAAATACCGATAGTTGGGCGCCAACTCCGTGAGCCGACACTTAATCCATTTGAGTGCCTGCCCCCTCTGATTTGGCATGGGGTTTTGTTTGCATGCGCGTGTACCTCATGATCAACACCCTGGCGTCTCCGCGAAATCCCTCCGACGTGCCATCTGCTGTACGTGAACCGCTAATGCCTTGCGCAACCTGTAGGCATGCATCTGCTCGGTTTCCGAGCGCCTGAAGCACAAAGCGCTTGCCAATGGGGCCACCCTGCAGCATGAGCTCCTTCCCCCCCACACTGCGGCGCTTCGACTGGGCCGTGCCCCAAGACTCGACTGCACGACCTGCTTCGACAATGCCTCCCATGGACTGGACGATGGGGATGGTCGTGCCAACGTCTCTATCGAAGCCTGGAGCGACAATGCTCTCAGGCTCCTGCGCGACGCCATTCTTGACCTCGTCCAGCACGCCCATGGGGTGGTCGACCTGCTCCTCCAGCTTCTTGGTCCGATTGCCCGACTTCTTGGTGGCCCGCTCAACTCTCGACAGCCTCTCCTCGTACACGACGAAGTGGCGGTGCCCTGGGCTGCAGAAGCCTTCTGGGCCTCGAGAGCCAGTATGGCGTGGGGCATATCCTTCCTTAGCGCCGCCGGCGTGTTCCTTGAGGGACCTGGGCATCCAGACTCACCAGCCAGATTCTCATCAGCATCATCATTCCCGCCAGCGCGTGGGTGAGTATCCCCAAGACACCCCTTCTGGCCGTCACCTCCACCAAGCATTGCGCCGATCTGTAGAGCGCGGGTGGCCCGGCGTACTGCAACGCAGATGCAACAGTGAGGTGGCGACCCCACCAGGGAGAGGGGGCGGCATGTCTTGCTGTTGGGCCCTTGAGCCCTCACTGCATACACCCTTCACGGCCAACGCGGGGTGGTTTCGGGCAGCAGCTTGGGCCACAATGGCTTGAGCTGAAGTGGCTACGAACCCTCCTCCTCCTCCTCCTCGTCCTCCTCCTACTCCTCCTCCTCCTCCTCAACATCATCATCATCATCATCATCATCATCATCATCATCATCATCATCATCATCATCAGCATCATCATCAGCATCATCATCATCATCATCATCATCATCATCAGCATCAGCATCAGCATCAGCATCATCATCATCATCATCATCATCATCATCATCATCATCATCATCATCATCATCATGAACATGAACATCAGCATCATCAGCATCATCATCATCAACATCATCCCTCTAACGCCTCCCCTTCTCCTCCTCGCCCTATGCTCCACACTCCTCTCTCATCCCCCTCCCTCACCAGTCACTCCTCACTCGTCCTCCTCCTCACCCTTGCCTCTCATCCTGCTGCTCCGCTCCACCTTTCTCACTCCTCGTCCCCTCCTCCTTCCCCTCCTCCTTGTCCTCCTCCCTCCTTCCTCGCCCCCCGCTCATCGTCTTCTCCTCCTCCCGCCCCGCCGCCCCGCGAGCCCCCCCGCCCCGCCGCCCGCGCGCCTGCGCGCCCATCGCCTCGCCCGCCCGCCCGCGCTCCGCGAGCTCCGCGCGCGCGCCCTCCAGCGACGCCTCTCGCGACCGCGCCCCGCCAAGGGCGCGGGCTGTGGGGCGCGACCGAATGCTGGGCGATAGGTGGGGGGGGAAGGTGCGTTCTTCGGATGGGGGTGGAGGCGGGTGCGCTCTTCGGATGGGGAAGGTGCGTTCTTCGGATGGGGGGGGGGCGACGGGTGCCCGCTTCTGGCCCTGAAGGCCCCCTCTGGTGCGCGAGCGGGCCCCTTTCAGGGGGCCTGTAGGGCCCCTTGGTCGGCAGCCCTCCGCCAGCTGTCGCCCCCCCAGCACGCGTCCTCAAAAAGGGGGGCAGTGGGTAGGGGTGCGGAAGCCGGGGGCGGCGAGACCCCCCCTCGTCCTCTTGGAGATAGGGGCGAAGGAAAACAGATAAGTACGAACTAGTTGAGTGTATATCCAGATACACACCAGTATCGCACATAGGTGTGACGATGTGTTGATGGATGGACGTGGATACATACATTCATTTAAATAATATAACACGTACAAAGATACACATATATATATGTATATATATATATAAATATGTATATGTATGAATAGCTGTGCGCATATACATGCAACCCACACACCTACACATATATGTATATACATATATACACACGCATTGACATATACATCAGGAGGTTTGTGTCCTCCTCGGAAACGCTCGCCCGACCCGAACATTTTAGGTCGCAGCGCGGCAGAGACGTAATCCGCCCGCGCGCTCTAGTGGGTCGGGCTAAGACGCGGCACCAGCTGCCCGCCTGCAAGAGGGGGGAAGGGGTGAGGAGGGCGCCCGTGGGGGGGTGGGAAGGAGGAGGTGAGGAGGGCCCCCTCCTCCTCCTCCTCCTCCTCCTGGCCCACCCTCCTCCTCCTCCTCCTCCTCCCCTCCTCCTCCCTCCTCCTCCTCCTCCTCCTCCTCCTCCTCCTCCTCCTCTCCTCCTCCTCCTCCTCCTCCCTCCCTCCTCCCCTCCTCCTCCCCTCCCCCCCCCCCTCTCCTCCTCCTCCTCCCCCTCTACTCCTCCTCCCTCCTCCTCTCCTCTCCTCCTCCTCCTCCTCCCCTCCTCCTCCTCCTTCCTCCTCCTCCTCCTCCTCCTCCTCCTGCTCATCGTGGGCGGCCGGCACGGCCAGCCTGTGCTGAAGGCCGACCGGAACAGACAATACATCCCATCCTGTGGCACATCGCTTCCCGAGCGGCACGGCTAGGAAGCGCCCGCCACGGAGCACACGCTATCAGATTTCCCGGCGCGCGCTCGGGGGCGCCGCACACACATGACATCGTAAGAACAAATGTTGGGGTGGCGCCGGTGCAGAGGCCAGGGAGGACGACGGAGGACTCCTCCTCCTCCTCCTCCTCCTCCTCCTCCTCCTCCTGAGGCCAGGGAGGACGACGGAGGAGTGAGGTTCGGAGAGGGTCGAAAGGGCTCGAGGTTGTCAAGCGACTTCGTCGGTTCGCGGTGGCTTTCCAGCCACGGGGCGCTTCCCAGCGGCTGCGCCCCGCCGAGGACGTTCCGGCCGCCAGAGACCCGACGTATGACCCGAAAGCCTCACGGGGGCGGTGTCGACCCTGAGATCCTGGCGTCGCGTCGCGTGCTTTCATCACAGGCGATCTTGCCTCGTTTCACGGTTCGGGGCGTGGGACCCTGGCGAAACCCTGAGATCTCGGCGTCGCACTCTTCTATCTCGCCTCGCTGCGGGCCCCCGGACCCTGGCGGATCGATCCGACTCGAAAAATGAAGCAAGAAGATTGGGCCCAGGCATCCAGTCGAGTTTTTGTGTGTACGATACTGCTTGTCCGCGACGTCAGATCTCAGGGCTCCCAAAGGAAGCAGATTCTTGGAGGGAAATGGTGTGCCTAGTCCTTTTGAAGATGACGAGGAGGACGAGGAGAGGGCGACGAGTAGGTGGAAGGGGGGGGGGGGAAGGCGGACGACGAGGGGAGCAGAGGAGATGGGCGCTCTTCCCTCCCTCCCCCTCGTCGTCGTCTTCCTCGTCTTTCTCGTCCGCGCCCTCCCTCCCCGCCCCCCCTCCACCTCCGCCCCCGCGCGCAACAGCGCCGAGACACGGCGGCCCGCACATCTGTGCAACCCCAGCTCGGGCGCCGCGGCTGCTCGGCCGCGCCCGTGGTCTTGGCGACACCCTCCTCCGTCCTCCTCGTCGTCGCTCTTCGCCTCCTCCTCCCCCCTCGTCCTCGTGCTCTTCACCCGTCCTCACTCGTGCTCCTCCTCTCCCTCCTCAAACATCCTCGTCCTCCCTCCTTCTCCTCCTCCTCCTCCTCCTCCTCCTCCTCCTCCTCCTCCTGCTTCTCCCCTCGCCTTCTCATGCTTCTCCTCCTCCTCCTCCTTCTCCTCCTCCTGCTCCTCCTCCTCCTCAATTCTCCATCCTCCGAATGCGCCGTGCCGCCTCAGCCTCCGCCTCCTCATCCGCCTCCACCGCCTCATCCGCATCCGCCTCCTCCGCCCCCTCCGTGTGGAGGCCCTCGTCATCCCCGACTTCTCCCATGACATCCTGGCATCGCGTTCTTCCTGTGGGCGAGGGGGAGGAGGAGGAGGAGCAGGAGGAGAAGGAGGAGGTGGAGGAGGAGGAGGAGAATAAGGAGGAGGAGGAGGAGGAGGAAGAGGAGGAGGAGGGGGAGGGAGGAGGAGGAGGAGGAGGAGGAGGAGGACGGAGAGGAGAAAGGAGAAGGAGAATGGAGAAGGAGGGAGGAGGCGGAGGATTGAGGATGAGGAGGGATGCAGATGAGCAGGAGGATGGAGGATGGAGGATGAGCAGAAGGAAATGGAGGAGGAAAAGGAGGAGGACGGGAGGAGAAGGAGGAGGAGGAGGAGGAGCAGGAGGAGCAGGGAGGAGGAGGAGGAGGAGGAGGGGGAGGAGGAGGAGGAGGAGGGGGAGGAGGGAGGGGAGGAGGAGAGGAGGTAGGAGAGGCAGGAGGGGGGGAGGAGGAGAAGGAAATGGAGGAGAAGGAGGAGGGAAGAGGGAGGGGTAGAGGAGAGGGAGGACGGAGGAGGAGGAGAAAGAGGAAAGAGGAGGAAGATGACGAGGAGGAGGAAGACGAGAAGGAGGAGGCGGAGAAGGAGGAGGACGAGGATGAGGAGACCGGAGGAGCAGGATGAGCAGGAGGATGGAGGAGGAGGAGCAGAAGGATGGAGGAGGCGGATGAGGAGGAGGAGGAGAAGGAGGAGGAGGAGCAGGAGGAGCAGGAGGAGGAGAAGGAGATGGAGGAGGAGGAGGAAGAGGAGGCGGTGGGCGAGGGGAGGAGGAAGAGGAGGACAGGAGAAGGAGGAGGAGGAGGAGGAGGAGGAGGAGGAGGAGGAGGAGCAAGTGTCAACTCCGTTAGATCTCCAATTTTTGCCACTGGGTGCCCTCACCGGGCCCCCCGGCCTTCCAAACAGGGGCTCGGCGTGGAAGAACGGCCCCTGGGGGAGCTGACGAGACCTCCGGGAGGGTGGTCCAGACCTCCTCCCTCGTCTTCGCCCTCCCCTGTTGAGCTGGGACTGGCTGTCCCGGCATTCCTGTAGGCCTACCACGACATGTTCTTAGAGCCCCACTATGTTCTAAACACAAGCACCACGACACGTTCTTAGAGCCCCACTATGTTCTAAAGCACAACCACTATATTCCTATACCATAAGCCCGACGTGTGAAAACAAGACGGTCTCAGCCAGACGGGTTCTAAGAATACGTGGCGCAAACCACAACAGGTCCTTAGAGCACTCTTCGGTGGGCCGATAGGCAAGCCGGGGCGCCTCGTCACTGCTCGACCTCGGGGCGAGAACGAGATGTATCATGATAAGGTTGGCTCAGGATGCGTTCCTGGAGTTCCAGAGCATCTGGCGGCGCAACCGGTGCGGAACACTCTGGGACATAAGAGAGATCCTGGTGACCTTGGAATTCCCGGAACGTGTCATGATCAGAACCTCTTGCTCCTCTGACCCGTCCCCTTCTAAGCTCCTGGCAGCGGAGTGCGAAAGGCCATGCCCAAACATTTGGACGGCGTCTGCCCCTGGAGGCCGCTTCCCGGCACCCGGGGCCGTCGAACAAGACTCGAGATGAAACACCGGCCCCGGGGGAAGGGGTCGAGATTCCCGGGGGCCAGTGTCACAAACAAGAAGCGCTCCTTTACTCTCTGCCTCCGCGTCCGCTCCCTCCTCCTCCTCCTCCTCCTCCTCCTCCTCCTCATCCTCCTCCTCCCCCTCCTAGCAGCTAGCGGGTGTGGATCACCCTGGTCGCACTTGTCCGCCTCAAACCCCTCCCACGGAGACGGCAAATCCCCTCCCTCTGCTAAGGGCTTACCCCTCTGGGAAACACTACATTGAACTGGCTCGTCTGGACTCACATCGATTGCAACGACTTGCGTTCACATTGTCCTGCCACTCTTACATAAGTCGATTAGAGAGAAGAGTTGTCAAGCACTTCGAAATTTCCCATCCTCGCCCTCCCCGTCATTATATGTTTTCCTTCTTGTCGACTGGTCTCAGATACCTCGTGGCAGGCAGGTGATACAGTTCGTGGAGCCTCTGACAGGTGTTCAAGGCGGTGGAGACTTTGCTCGAGCAGTCGACTCCACGAAGCCAACAGAAGGCCCTTAACTTGAACTCCAGGTAGCTGGCTGCACTTGTACGCAGAGGAGCTCCCTCCGCCATCCTGTTTGTCATTCTTCCTCTCTCCTCCTCATGGAATCCTCCTCCTCCCCATCCTCCTCTGCTTGGGAAAAGCTTCGCGAGCTCACTGGGACCCCTTCCCAGGAAAACACGCGGGTAGCAGCCAGATCGTCACCCTTGTTTGCCCGTAGCGGGCCAAGGGGAGAGAAAATTGCTCTCGTCGCCAGCGGCCACCCATGGAGTGGGTGGTGGGTAGGTTGGGCGTCGGAGCACGGACTCTGGCGCCCCCTACCCCGAACAGGGCGCGCGGAGCACGGTTTCCTTGCGCGTCCTGTTTCGCGCACTTAGCACGTCACGGGGGCATGGCCCAGACCGTTGGCGCTGCTCTGGCTGCTGGCACTCCCCTGTTGGGGAGGTGTTCGGCCGCTCCTGCAGATCCCGCATTGCAGGAGTCAGTCATTTGCGGTGCGAGCGTCGAGCTCAAAAAAAAGAAGCTTCGCGAGCTCTCAATATTAGGCACGGTCATCGGACACAAAAATGAGAGCAATCAAGCTTCCCTTAGCTTCCGGCCCTCCTCCCATTGGTGGGTCGGCCTGGGGGGACAGCGCGAGCGATGCTGGAGAGTGGGTATGGAGGCCGAGGAGCAGTTCCACGCTCAGAAGTCTGGACCAGCGTTCCGTGGGTTACGACCCCGCCTCCAGGAGCGGACATGACTGGACTGGACTGGACCCTCTCCTCCTCCTTGTCATCCCTGGTCTCGTCTTCCAGGCATCTCGCAACAAAAACGCGTGCCTCCGGACTGCATGAACCAGGGGGTCCGAGTCGGCATGCCGGTGGGTGCGCTCCCAAAGGGGCCGCACCTGGGCAGCGCAGAAGGCTGCATCTCGAGGGCCATCGGCCAGTCAGCGAGCCAGCCAGCCGGGTCCGAACAAAAAGAGAGCGCCAGGGCTCATGACCGGCGAGAGCCCAGGTAGACGAGCCAAACTGTTTGGGCAGTCAGTGAGAAACGGCTCGAGCCTACAATGGCAAGGAGAAGGAGGTGGACTGGGGAGGGGGAAGGAGGAGGAGGAGGAGGAGGAGGAGGAAGAAGGAAGGGTGAAGGTGGAGTAGGAAAAAGAGGAGGAGGAGGAGGAAGAGGAAGAGGAGGAAGGAGGAGTGAGGAAGGAGGAGAAGGACCCCGCAGAGGAGCCTCGAGGCGACCCTGCTCCGACCGCGCCTGCTGCAGGAGCGCCTGCATCCTGCGAGAAGGGGAGGAAGATCGGGGGGCGGCCACGAGGGGGGCGTCCAAGAAGGGGGGGTGCAAATCATGACCAGCGGCATGTGCGCGGCTCATGGGGGGGGCTGGGGCCGTAATGGAATGAGAAAAGGCGCCGTGACATCTGAGCAAATATCATGGCCCCCGCCATGATACAGGCCTCGGAACCAATCAGCGAACACTCATGCCACATTCATCCGTCAACGCCTCCCCCCCAATGTTCAAAGTTGGCGGTGGGTCTGATGAGATGCACTTCGGCCGCAGTCTCCCCCGCGCGTGCCAACATTGAGTTTGGGGGGGAGTGGGAGTGTTCAGTAATTGTTTCCCTCTACCGTATCCACACCCCCCCTAGTCATCACCCCACCCCTTTGCCGCCCCCGAGACCTGCCCTTCCCCCCGTGGGCCTCGGAAGCGCCGCAGGGGGTCAGGTGGGATAGGGGGGAAAGGGGTCCGTGCACCCCGGCCCGAGGCAGGTGTGCAGGCGGGGCGGGGATTCTCTTTTGGTCGTCATGCCTGGCCCCATAATCCGCACAAAATTCACCACGAAATCCCGAACCAGAATCTTGAGGGATGAGGAAAAGAAAACAACCCTACCCTGGGTTACAAGTGCGTGGTCTGTAAGCCTCCTGGGACCCCCCAAAGCCTAGAGCCGCCAGGACGCGGCACATCGCGCAGAGTTCACCCTGTCAGCCCACAGGAGTTTCAGCGCACAGCGCCTCGTAAGCCAGGGTAGGGGCGTTTTTTCTGCCCTCGATAATCCGCACGAAGTTCCCCTCGAAATCCCGAACGAAATTTTCCAGGGCACCCTGGGCCCACCCTGCCGTTCTCCGAACGAAATCCGCCCTGCGATGATGGCGCCATGAGATATGCCGCACCTCTTGTCTGAAGTCGGGCAAGCCCGTCTACAGGAGGAAGATTAAGAATTGCATTTTCCGATGTTGTCGATTATTTTAGATGTGCCGGTTTTTCTGATATTTGTTGGGGCATTTGTTTGGTATTTGTGGTCTAGTTGTCAAATTGTCCTTTCAAAACCCGCCTGCAGGAAGACATGCCCGACCTAACTCTTGTCCTGGCCCCCCTTTGCGACGCAGGGTGGCGTTCGGCCCACGACGCGGGCCTCCGGCGACAGTTCTGGACGTCTCGGGCCCCCTGGAAAGCTCCCGACGAGGCGCACCTGCAAATCATCTCTTTAGGGCAAGGAGATCCGCAATGACCAAAAGACTTCCCTGAGATCCGGCATCACGGTGGGAAACCTCAAAACACACTAAAGACTCGACCGCAACCCAGGACCCCATCCTTTTGCTGCACTTACCGAGCAGGATCGATCCGAGAGGGACCCGGGGCCCGAGGTAAGGCAGAACAAAACCCGTTGTGAAAAACTGCGACGCCAGGATCTCCGGTTGGCGCACCTGCTGGAGGGTGCCCCACGGCGAGAAAACCCGCAAACCAAAAGGAAGATAGTCTTCGAGAGCCAGCGTTGGAGGACCAGATCTTTGCACCAACTCCCACAGGGAGTGTGCCTCCACCGGGGGAAGATGATCTCCCAGACATGCGCCGTCCTGATCTTTCCAAGACGGCGTCCCTGGAAATTCCGACCCTTTCCCAAGGACCGGTTGTTCGTCCTGAGTCGTTTCTTGACGGCCCCGAGGCCCGGCGAGGGCCCCCCGGGACCGAAAATAGCCACAAGCCTCCCGTCCTGAACTCTTTACGACGCGATCATGTCTGGGCGTGGATCTCGGTGATGGTGGCAGCGAACCTCTCGGCCACCAAAGAAGGCCGCATACGACTACCGTCACCGATGTCAGGATCAGCTGCCCTCGGTGCAGGCAACCTGCGGACAGTTCATTTGTTTGGAGCCAACCTCTAAATCCTGCAGCAACGGAGACTTCCACACACCTTGGAGGCGGCCGGGGGGCCTGAGCTGGTTGGGCCCAGGGGAACTGGGGCCGAAAGAAAATCGATCAAGAGCAGGGGTGAAGCCAAATCCGTTTGATATCGCTCCCTGTACCCCTCCTGGCCCCGATCAGCTGTTCACTGCTCTCTGGCTCGCAAAAGGCACCCGAAGACCGAAAACTGCAAACAAAAACAATCCAAACTTCGAACCTGCCCCACCCCCACCTCCTGCTGGCCGGAACAGGTGAGGAAATAGTGCTTACCGTGTCGCAGCGGCGGCCCTGGCGACACGCTATACTTTGCGGAAGGATAGCATGTCGCTCCGCTCCGTGTGGCAGCAGTAGGCTCGGAAAGGCTCGGGAAGTTGAATCTTGGGCGCCTGGGGGCCGGGACGTGGATAGCGTGTGGCGCCGCAGCGTAGTGGGCCAGATCGGCGGCGCGACACGCTAAGCCCAAACTCTTGATCCTAAGGCCCCCTGCCGGCTCCGACTGACACCCCTCTCCTGGAGGAAGAACAACCTGCATAAACATAAGCTACTGGAAATCAGCGCGGATGTCTTGGATCTGCGCTGGACCCCCCTCCCTAGCGCGCGGAGCGCGCCAGGGGCGGCACCGGAGGCACGCAGGGGCGGTCCAGCACAGATCCACGAACTCCGTGCGGTGCTCCGGAAGTGCATGCTTGCGTCTTTTCTCCTTTGATCTCCGACGTCCCACGCGGTCACGCGTCCCTCCCCGTCGTCTCGCCTCCTCGCTGTCCTCCTCCTGCTCCGCCTCCTCCCCTCTGCACTGCGCCGTGGCCCGGCACCACGAGGGCGGCCGGGAACGCCCAGCAGAGGCTGCTTCCACCCTAGGTCTGGCTCAGGGGCTGCGCGGCCCGCAGGCCAGGGGGGGTGTTTCATAAAGCGAGGCTCCGAGCACCATCGGCAGCGCAGGACGCGTGGGAAGCGCGGACTCACTCACAATCGCGCCCAGAGAGCCCTTGGGGAAGCCAAGCGGTGGCGGCATGGGCACGTTTTCCAAACGAACGAAAAGGGAAACTGCATGCAGACAACCTTTCGACGCTCCGCGCGGATTCCTTGGACCTGCGCTGGCCCGTGTTTTTCTTTCCTTCGGGGTCACGCCCACAGGGCCCCGAGGGGAAACCGAAACCGCAGCGGCATGGGCACCCCTTCCTCCTCGGAGGTCCTGGTGGCCGCCTCCGCGTGCTGGACGGCCAGCACCTCCAGCCGGCCCTCGCGCGCCTCGAGGCGCGCGCAGCGCTCGCCGGCGTCGCGCAGGCGGCGCTCCAGGCAGAGCTCCTCGCGAGGCCGGCCGCGGCGACCACAGGCGCCGGGGACGAGGGCCGCGGCGGCGGCGAGGCGACGAGAGGACACGAGGGCCGTTGGCGTTCGCCTGTTCGTGGAGCTTTGCTCGCCTCGACGATCCAGGGTCGAGGTTCCCAAGCGTACTCGTTAGCTGTTGGCCTCCTCCTCCTCCTCCTCCTCCACCTCCTCCTCCTCCTCCTCCTCCTCCACCTCCTCCTCCTCCTCTGGAGGGGTCGAGCAGCGGATGCTTCCCAGCAGCTGCGCCTCACCAAGGGCGTCCGGGGGGGAAGCTGGATCGTCCCCATCGTCCTCCAGAGAGCCGAGGTATGGCCCAATAACCGCAGGGGGTTTGGGCTGACCACGAGATCCTGCCGCCGCATTTTGTTCACACTTGTTCCTGGCCCTGGGAAACTCACGGATCGATCCGTGCTGGACAGCGCCACAGAAAGTTGGGATCCAGGGCTCTGGTCGCGTCGTTTTCTACGATGTTGCAATTTTCTGCGTGGCGTTGGATCTCAGGGTCGCCGTCGGCATCGCTGCCGACCCCGCCACTACGAGAAACTGGCACCGACCTAAACTCTCGGAGGTCCGCGCGAATGCCCTGCGTCTGCGCCCACGCCAGGGGCGGCGCAGGAGGCGCCGTCAGGGGGCGCGCCGCAAGGTGCAGCGCCGATCAAAGAGGGATATATCCCGATCGTTTGGTCCTCGATCGATCGACGCTTGCTGGCTTTTGGGTCATTGCTCGGGCCTCCAGCGGCCGTTCGAGACGATACCACTGGGACGTCCGGGGACGATGATGGCGACGACGACGACGACGCCGGCGACGACGACGACTACGACGACGACGACGACGACGACGACTACGACGACGACGACGACGACGACGACGACGACGACGACGACGACGACGACTACGACAACGACCACCACAACGACGACGACCACAACAACAACGACGACAACAAGAACGACCGCAACAACAACGACGACAAAAATAACGACCACAGCAATAACAACGACGACACCCACAACGACGACGCCACAACCACTAGCAACGGTGGCTCCCACAACGACGAAGACGACGACGACGACGACCACGACCACAACGACAACCACAACTACAACGACAACGACGACGACGACGCCGAGGACGCCGACCGCGACGACGACCGCGACGAGCACCGCGCGCGGCGGGAGGCCTCCGACGCGGCCAGCTCGGCCCGCCGCTCTGCGCCCGCCAGCTCGCGCTCCCGCAGGCCCTCGGTCCGGCGGAGGAGCAGCACCTGCCCGGTGAGCCTGAGGTCGAGGCGACGGGGGGAGGAGGGAGGAGGAGGAGGAGGAGGAGGAGGAGAAGGAGGAGGAGGAGGAGGAGGAGGAGGAGGAGGAGCACCTGCCTGGGGGGGAGCGGTCGGCAGCGCTCCTCGGCCCTCCTCCTCCTCCTCGTCGATCCTGCTCCTCCTCCTTCCTTCGGTGCCCCTCCTCGATCCTCGCCCCCCCTCCTCGATCCCCGATGCTCCTCCTCCTCCTCCTCCTCCTCCTCCTCCTCCTCATCCTCGATCTTGCCCCCCTCCTCCCCGAGATTCTTCTCCACTCCCCCTCCTCGAGCAGCTTCCTCCGCGCTCCAGCGGAGGAGCAGCAGCTGCCTGGTGAGCCCGCACGAGGTCGACAAGGGGGGGGTCAGAACAAGGAGCAGTATATCGGATGGCGCGCGGAAGGGGGAGAGGCAAGAGGCCTCCCCGAAGAGGGGCGGGGCTTGGAGCAGACCAGATCGGCGGACCGCGCCCCACCTCCTCCTGCTCCTCCTGCTCCTCCTCCTCCTCCTGCTCCTCCTCCCCCTCCTCCTCCTCCTCCCCTCCTCCTCCTCCTCCCCTCCTCCTCCTCCTCCTCCTGCTCCTCCTGCTCCTCCTGCTCCTCCTCCTCCTCCTGCTCCTCCTCCTCCTCTTCCTCCCACGTCGGCGACGCATCGGCGAAGCCAGCGTGGAGAACCTCGGGCTCCACGTCGGGCCACGTCGCCGATGCTCGTCGGCGGCGCGGCGCGACACTGCGCCCCCATCTGCTCCGACCCCACGTTCCAAAGACCAGGGAGCAGGCGGAGGGGAAGCACCAGAGATGGGGCGGCACCGAGACCGAAGGGCTCGGCTCTGCCCGCGATGGGGCGGGGGCGCCACTCCGGACGACGGGAACAGCACGGGTCCGACAACGGAGGCGCACGCTGCAGCAAGAGCACCGTTTTGAGACTCCGGAGGCAGCTGGAACCGAACACGGCATTTGAAGCACCACTTCGCCCAAGCCCATGTGCAAGAGAGCAGAACGCGCAGAGGGCGGAGCATCTGCCGCACAGGGCCAGGGGAGACAGGAGAGTAGTACTCACAGCGTGTGACCGTGGAGGGAGGAGGGCGGAACAGGAGAAGGACGAGGCGGAGGAAGGAGGAAGAGGATGACGATGAGGAGGAAGGAGGAGGGAGGAGGGAAACCAAAGGAAGGAGGATTTAGGAACGGGGAGGAGAGAAGAGGAGGGAAAAGCAGGGAGGAGGAGCAGGGGGAGGAGTGAGGGAGAAGAGAGGAGGGACAAGCTGGGTGCGCTCGCGTCATCCCTGACGTCCCAACACTTCGATCCGCGGACGAGTGACATAGCGGACCTGGAAATCCCAGAGAGACCTCTTCGCGCGTGATGCGCGATCGTAAACTAGGAGCTGCGTGCATAGGAGAAGGAGGAGGAGGAGCAGGAGGAGGAGCAGGAGGAACAGGAGGAGGAGGAGGAGGACGAGGAAGGAGAGGGAGGAGGAGGAGGACGAATACGAATAGCAACGGCAGGAGCTGGACTAGAAGGAGTGGGAGGAGCGGGAGCAGGGGCAGGCGGAGGAGGGGACAAGACGGGGGACACGATGATGACAAAGGATTCGAGTCCAGAAGAGTGGCCCGCGCTGGAGCGAGAACGCCTTTCGGAACGACGCGAGCCAAGCGCTAATCCAAAAACGAGGCCCACGCTGCAGCAAAACCACCCTCTTGAAACTCCGAAAACAAGCGGGTTGCCACACAACCGTAAGCCAGGCCACCTTCTACAAACTTCCTGTGCGCAAGCAAACTGTACGCGGAAGGGGCGGGATACCTCCCGCACGTAGTCAACAATAACTGTACGCGACTTTGGGGCACGCAGCATGTCGCTCTGCTTCGGTCTCTCGCGCGGGTGAGGCTAACTCAGGCTATCAGATGCAATGGACACACGCGAATGCATTCGGACAAGTACGAATACCGGAAATCAGCGTGAAAACTCAACACGGTGACCAGCCGCGCACAGTCAGGGGATCGCGGAGCATCGTTTTTATCTGGGGTGAGTGCGGAGCGAGGAGGGCGGAGGGGGCAGAGAGGCAGACGGAGGCAGGGAGGACAGGCGACGGACGAGGGTAGAGGAAGAAACACTGTATGTACATAAACTTTCGACGGGCCGCCCTGATCTCTTGGATCTGCGCTGGACCCTCCTCGCTGGCGCGCGGAGCGCGGCAGGGGCAACGCTGGAGGCGCAGCAAGGCGGGCCCAGCGCCGATCCGAGAAACCCGCCCAGACCGTCGAATGTTATGCTTATGTAGTTGTTTCTTCTTCGAAAGGTGGAAGAGGAGAATGGGGAGGAGGGGGAGGAGGAGGAGGAGGAGGAGGAGGAGGAGGAGGAGGAGGAGGAGGAAATGGAGGAGAAGGGGGAGGTCGGTCGGACGCTGGCAGGAGACATATGTTTGTGTTCTTGAAAGATCACAGGCCGCCCCCCCCGGCCTACGCGAATGTGAAAGAAGGGGGAGAGCAAGAGGGAGGGAGGGAGGACAGGCGAGGGTCGAGGGTCGAGGAGGGAGGAGGAGGGAGGGAGGGCGGACCGGCGAGGTGCGAGGGTCGAGGAGGAAGGCGAGAGGGGAGGGAGGGAGGACAGGCCCGGTGCGAGGGCCCAGGAGGCAGGCGGAAGAGAGGGAGGGAGGAGGGAGGACGGGCGAGGTGCGAGGGTCGAGGAGGGAGGCGGAGGGGAGGGAGGGCGGGCGGACGGGCGAGGTGCGAGGGTCGAGGAGGGAAGCGGAGGAAGGCAGGGCATGAGGGCCCAACATCGAATCGAGAAGTCGGATCGGCGATGGAAGTGAATCGGATCGGCGGAGATCGGCAGCCGAGTCGGGAGAAATCGCATCGGCGGAAGCCGGCAGGCCAGGTGGGCCTCCACCGAGAAATCGGGATCCCAATCGGAATCGGGCGTCAAGCCGAATCGGAAGCGGAAACCAACGGAACCGAATCGAATCGAATCGGGGGAATGGAATCGAGCCCAGGGAGGGGCGAGGAGGAGGAGGAGGAGGGCGAGGAGAAGAAGAACAAGGAGGGGGAGGAGGAGGAGGAGGAGAGGAGGAGGAGGAGGAGGAGGAGGAGGAGCAGGAGGAGAAGGAGGAGGAGCAGGAGAGAGAAGGGGGAGGGAGGAGGAGGGAGGGAGGGTGGGAGGGAGGGAGGGAGGGAGGGGGAGGAGGAGAAGGAGGAGGAGGAGGAGGAGGAGAAAGAGGAGGAAGGGGGAGAGGAGAGGAGGAGGAGGAGGAGGAGGAGGAGGAGGAGGAGGAGGGAGGAGGAGGAGGGGAGGAGGAGAGGAGGAGCAGGAGGAGCAGGAGGCGGAGGAGGAGGGGAGGAGGGGAGGAGGAGGAGGAGGAGGAGACGGGAGGGAGGGAGGGAGGGAGGGAGGGCGGAGAGGCGAGGTGCGAAGGTGGAGGGAGGCTGGGGGCATGGGTTGAGCGCCGGGGCCTGCCCAGCCACGCCGCCGCGCCACCGCTGGGCCCCGCGCCCCCGCCGGGCGGCGCGCTGGCCGTGGCCTCCTCGCGGGGGCGCCACGGGCACGGACCGCCCCTTGTCGTCGTCGGCGCCGGCGTCGTCGTCTAGCTCCTCCTCCTCCTCCTTCTCCTCCTCCTCCTCCCTTCTTATTATTCTTCTTCTTCTTATGATTCGTATTGTTTATTCTTATGGTGATGATGATGATGATGATGATGCTGATGATGATGATGATGATGATGATGATGATGATGATGATGATGAGATTAAAATTTATTCGTCTTATGTTTCCTCTTATTCTTCTTCTTCGACTTCGTCTTCTTCTTCTTCTTATTCCTTCTCCTATTCCTCCTCCTCCTACTCCTCTCTCCTCCCTCCTCCTCATCCTCCTCCTCCTCCGCTCCTTCTCCTCCTCCTCCCCCTCCTCCTCCGCCTCCTCCTCCTCCTCCTCCTCTTCCGTCCGCCTCCGCCTCCGCCTCCGCCTCCGCCGCATCCTCCTCCTCCGCCTCCTCCTCCTCCTCCTCCTCCGCCTCCTCCTCCTCCTCCTCCACCACCCTCCTCCTCCTCACCATCCTCTCCTCGCCTCTCCTCCTCCTCCCCCTCCCTCCTCCTCCTCCTCCTCCTCCTCCTCCTCCTTCCTCCTCTCCTCTCCTCCTCCTCTCTTCCTCCTCCGCTTACTCTCCCTTCTCCTCCTCCTCCTCCTCCTCCTCCTCCTCCTCCTCCTTCTTCTTCTTCTCCTCCTCCTCGTGGGTAGCCCATAGAGGACGTGCGCGTCCAACCACGTGCATGCACATGGCTCCCCAGTCCGCGAGACCGGCCGCGTGATGCGAGCGTTCGCGCAAGGCGCGCTCTTGAAAAACCAACGTGGATTCATCTACGTGTACGTCTTGCTTTTGCTCCTGATCGCATGTTCGACCAGGAGGAGGAGGAGGAGGAGGAGGAGGAGGAGGAGGAGGAGGAGGAGGAGGAGGAGGAGGAGGAGGAGGATAAGGAGGAGGAGGAGGAGGAGGAGGCGGAGAGGAGGAGGAAGGCGGAGGAGGAAGGAGGAGGAGGATGAGGAAGGAGGAGGAGGAAAAGGAGGGGAGGAGGAGGAGGAGGAGGAGGAGGTGGAGGAGGAGGAGGAGGAGGAGGAGGAGGAGATCGCTCGTGGGCGGTCTTCGGGTGACGCTCGGCGGTGTTCGGCGGGCGGGGGGCCTCGATCCCCGACGTCGCGATGTTGTTCACAACGTCGACCCCCAGAAGGAGGAGGAGGAGGAGGAGGAGGAGGAGGAGGAGGAGGGAGGAGGAGGAGGAGGAGGGAGGAGGAGGAGGAGGCGGAGGAGGAGGACCGCCTTTCATCCTGAGTCGTTTTTTGGCGGACCCGAGGCCCCGGGCAAGGGCCTCAAGAGGCCGAAAACAGCGAGAAGCCGCCCGTCGCGAGTGTCGTCACAGCGCGAGGGGGTCTGGGGGCTGGCCAGAGGCGACGGAGGCGTTCGGAAGCTCTCCTTGGTTCCTGGAGGTTCTCACGCCTCGGGTTATGTCGGGCGCGTCCCCCTACAAGACCCACTCCGTGCCCCTATGGGTATGGATGTGTGCGCGCTCGCTCGTCAACCCTGGCATAGACGGGGACGCCTCCTGGCACAGTAACTCCTTCGACCCTGAGTGCTCCTCCGCCGTCGCCCGCTGAACCACCGCGACGCACCCGAACATCGCGAGGCGGGCCCTGTCGCCCTCCCTCTCTGTACTGTGAGATCCAGGCTGCGCCCGAGCGCTACACACTACCCCCTCCTCCCTCCGACTGTGCTAAGATAGTGCTTCACCCCCTCCGCCGTTCCTCCGGCTTGCCTCCGTGTGCTGCCTTTGACCTCGTCAATCCTGGCGTCGCGATTGTCTTCCGAGCGGGCGATGTCTTGCCCCGTTGCGGGCCACGGGGCCCACCCTTGCGGGTCGATCCGGCTCGGCAGGTGCCGCAGGACGATGGGGCCCAAGGCTCCGGTCGAGATTCGCTACGCTGGTGTACCTTTTCGTCGCGACGCTGGGTCTCACTGCTCTTGCCATCGCTCGGGCGTCCATTTCCCGCGTGTTTCTCGACTTCGTGTGTTCGATTTTCCGAAACCGATCTAAGATGCTCCTCAAGTGTCCTCGCCGGGGATACGCGCACGCGCCCGAGCGATGCCAACGTGCTACGGCGGGTTCGCGTCGGGACGGCCCTGGCGTTAGGTCAGGCATGTCCCCCTGCAGGCGGCTTTTGGAGGAAAAACTGAGAAGACCCGACACATACTCAGAAATGGTCAAAAAAAAACATTGCCCCCAGACTATTATTTGTTGTTCCTATCTTTGAATCTTCCTCCTGTAAAGTTAGGTCGGGCCTGTCCCCCTACAGGGGGATTTTCGAAGAAAAATGAAAGATGCCCCCAAAATAATAAAAAAATATTCCAAACATGGTCTGGGGACCCATTGTTTGAATATTGTTTGACCTTTTGGGGGTATTTTTGGGGTATTCTGCATTTTTCGCAGAAAATCCCCCTGTAGGGGGACACGCCCGACATAACTTTAGAGGGACACGCCCGACTCAGCCCCGGCGCTGGCTGCCGGTGCCGCCCTGGGCGGGCGGGCGCGGGCCCGAGGAACCCACCCCGCCCCCGCGCTGCCGGGGGCCTCTGCGCCCCGCACGTGCACCCCGCGCCGCGTGGGCAGGCGCGCCCCACGGCTCGCCAGGGTGACGGGGGAGGAGGAGGAGGAGGAGGAGGAGGAGGAGGAGGAGGAGGAGGAGGAGGAGGAGGAGGAGGAGGAGGAGGAGGAGGAGGAGGAGGAGGAGGAGGAGGAGGAGGTAGGAGGAGGAGGAGGAGGAGGGAGGGGAGGAGGAGGCGAGAGTGAGGAGCGGGAGGAGGAGGATGAGGAGGAGGAGAGAGGGAGGAGGAGGAGGAGGAGGAGGAGGAGGAGGAGGAGGAGGAGGAGGAGGAGGAGGAGTGGGAGGAGGTGGAGGAGGAGGAGGATGCGTGGGCAGGCGCGCTCCACGACTCGCAGGGTCAGAGGAAAGAGAACTATGCGCATACACCGATTCTGGCCAGGCCCACCCTGCGCCCAGGATCGGTGCATGCGCCCTCCTACCTTGGCCAGGAGGGCATCTGCACCGATCCTGGGTCAAGGATGGGCCTTGCCAGGATCGGTGCATGTGCATAGTTCCCTTCGCCCGAAGGGTGACTGCTCGCAGATGGCCTGGAGCCACCCCGAGGGATCTACGATCCATGACGTAGAAGGCAGAACATCCACCCCCATAAGAATCACCCCGACACGCGAAGCCGTTCAGCAGACGCACCCAAAGAAGGAATCAAGCAGGGCAGGGCTGTTTCGTAAACGCCCGGGGCCGTTCAGAAAATGCCAATTGTCGGGTCCGGGTGGCTTTTCCTCCCTTGAATGACGTACGGCAGGTTCGTGTCGTGTCGACCCCGGCGTTGGTTTTTGACACCGCAGGGATCGTTCAACCTTGAACGATCGGCCATTTCCGCAACGTCCAATCGTTCAACATCGACCGATTCTGGGCCGCCGCCGGCGTTCAACCTTGAACGCCCGCGCTGGGGTCGCCGCTGGTCGACACGACGCAAACCTACCGTAGAGGAAGACATGTTTTTGTTTCGGACGTTTGCGAGTAGGCACTTTGCGAGTGGTGGAACGTGCTCGGTGACTGTGGAACGAATCACGGCGGAGGGTCTTTGCCAATCTTCAGCCTCCAGGGGCCCTCGCTGGGCCCCAGGTCCGTTGAGTTATTCCAGCAAGCCGCCCCTAACGCAGCCGAAAAGGTGGTCAACAAAAATTGTTGGTTCAGAAATCTGGGCCAACTCTCAAGGAGGCCTCTTGGAGCAAGCCCGGTCCCACTTCTGCCTTGGACGCTGGAGGGGCGAACGTGCTCCAGAAGCGGGGCCAGCTTTCGGGCAAGTTGGCCAAGACACGCTGGCCCAGCTTTGCGAGGGGAGGTGTCTTACTAGAGGCCTCCTAGATAAGGTCGAAGTAGATAGGGTCGAAGGATGGCGCCACATCGCCAATGCATCGCCGATGTATCGGCGACGCATCGAATATGCATCCGCGACGTCGGCGACGCATCGGTGACGTCGGCGTGAAGCAAATCGGGCCCCACATCGAGCCGCATCGGCGATACATTGGCGATGCGGCGCGACCCTCCGACCCCATCTACTCGGACCCCGCCTGAGATGCTTAGACTTACTCCGATGCTCGACTGTAGCAGCAAGCGTGGACGAGGCGTGTCGAGGACTTAGCAGAAAGTCGGCTATCTTAGGGGACAAGGGTACGATCACAGAAGTGGGCCCTACGTGGGCCCTGTGCACCTTTGCGTGCGTTGTTTTCTTACCAGGATTCGTAGCCGTCCAGACCAAAAGTGTGGCCGGGGAGGTCCTCCTCCTCCCCCTCCTCCTCCTCCTCCTCCTCGTCCTCGTCCTCCTCCTCATCCTCCTCGTCCTCGTCCTCGTCCTGCTCCTCGTCCTCCTCCTCCTCCTCCTCCATCTCCTCCTCCTCCTCCTCCTCCTCCTCGTCTCCTCCTCCTCCTCCTCCACCTCCTCCTCCTCCTCCTCCTCCTCCTGCCTCTCCTGCCTGTGGTAGCGGTGGTGGAAAAATCGGCCCAGCACGGATCGGCGGAGACCCCGGGGGGGGGAAGTGAGACGGAGCAGGCCCTCCCAGCAAGCGGCACTGGCCATCGCTCGGACGTCCATTCCCTGTGTTTTTTGTCGGTTTCGTGTGTGGCTTTTTCGCCAAATGATCAAGGATGCTCCTCGATGGTCTTCGCCGAAGGAAGAATGCACACGTCCGAGCGATGCCAAGTTCCCAGAAAGCGGCCAGGCTGCCGAGAAGTTGTCCGTGCCTCTGGGGGAGGCTCAGAGAAGAGTCCTCGGGGGGCCCGAGGCCTTCCGAGCCTTCTGAGAAGGCCCGTCCCCCGCCTCCTTCTCCCCTATGCTCGCCGCAGCCCTGGGGCGAGATACCGATTTGTCTTGCTGCTTTGCTGTGTTCGTTCGTTTGTTTGTTTGTGCGCTTGTGTGTACTTGTTTGTTTGTTTTGT